TTGTACACGATAAGTTAAAGGTAGATTATACTTTTGTTCTTTGTTATATATTTAAAGCAGAACCAGAGTTGTTTTAGGTGTAATCTGACTTCCAATTATCAATAGATACATTGAGTCAATATTTGAATTTTTTCTTTGTTGTAGGTATAAACAACACAAACTTGGTGTTAATGTTTAATCAAGTCATTTTATTGTGTCGCTTTGAAAAGGCTACATAAAGGGGTTACTTTTGTCAGCGGCGTCGTTGTTGGCTTCGCTGTTGGCATCAGTGGCCTCCCCTAAGACTTGTCCATACAGGATGTCCATGCTGTTTCTTCATGGTCTGCACTGTTCCTCATTCAATCAACATTTTGAAATTTTCCCTTATAAATGATGAATGGTTTTGTTTGGATTTTAAAGATGGATGAGTCTGTTTAAGATATTTACAGGGTTAACATTAAAGAAAATGTTAAACAGTTTCGTATATAGTTATATTTGTTGCTGATTTTCATTGAATTGTACATTCTCTAGTGATTTTAAAATATTGAAATTAAAACCTTTTTTCAGATCAATATAAACAGGCATGTTCCCACCCACATCTGGTACTGCTACCATATATGGTCATAATGTGATGTCAGATATGGATAATATAAGCCAGGATCTAGGGATGTGTCCACAATATAATGTTTTGTTTGAAAGGTAAAATAGGAATTTCATTTACATGTTTACAAAATTATAAAATAACTGACAATATCTATATAAAGTGGGCATTCTTTATTTTGAATACCATTCTGATATACACTTTTCTGTACCCAATGTTTTTATTAAGTTTAGAAAAAAAAGAATATATGTATGACTAAATTTGATTGATCTTCACCCAAACATATTGTTAGCTTTACTTTTTTATAAGGAAAAAATGTTGCGCTTTTGTCATGACCCTTTCGTTAGCATTGGTGTTTGCATCAGCAATAATAAAAAGAGGATATTTTTTCGTTTGAGTGAAATATGGAGTATATTTTTACGAAACATGATAAAATGCCACATATTTTCACTTGCCATCCCGGCTCGTGAAAATATGTGGCATTTTATCATGTTGAGTGAAAATATATACCATATTTCACTCAAACGAAAAAATAACCTTTTTATTTAATTTCATTATCAAAGAAAAATGGTTATGAACACCCTTGCTTGCTACGCAACTGCAATTGTACAGCGCGCAGTAATATTATTATTGTCTTGTTTTGCACCCTATATTTCGCACTACATTGTGACGTCACGTAAACAACTCTTTAAACGTCTGTTCAGCGTTTATGACTGAATTAAAGATATTGGTGTTAGGATTGATTTTCTTCGTTAGACCATTTTCTATCATTCTAGATAGTTTTCAAAACAAAATTCAACAAAGTTGTTTTGTATTTATCAGATTTTTCAAACAAAATGGCGAAAGAAGTCCCTTAAAATAAATATGAGTTTTGACTCCGCCCACTTTCATATTTATATTTCATATTTATTTTAAAAAAAAATTGAATATATTAAGTAAGTAAGTAAGTAAGTAAGTAAAGGCTTTATTTATCGAGGCTACACATTTGGTTTCCCAATCTTCCATGTGGGCCTCTAATAAAAACATAATTTACAATATATACAACTACAATATTACAAAAATAATTGCAACAACATTATGTTACAATGTACATTGAAATTGTCAGAACAAGAAATACATGTTAAATATTTACAGTCCATTCAAAGCATAATACATGTCAAAGAAGTACATATCAAATTAAAAGAAGTTGGAAATACTTTTAAGTAGGTACATCAAATGATTGGATTCTAATTTTGTTATAAAATGATTAATTTAATGATGAGAAATGCCAGGATAGATATGAAGCTTGAAATTCCTGAACTGTTTTAGATTTCCTTATGTTAAGAGGGATATTATTCCATAATTTAGGGCCAGAGTATACTAGGGGTTTTCTGAAAAATTCTTTCTTAGGTCGTGGAACAGCTAGGTCTGAACTATTTGTAGATCTTAAGTTGCGCTCATGTTTTTGGTGTACAAATTGGAATTTACTTTGCATGTATTGTGGATATGGTATGTCATTGATAGATTTAAACATTATGATTGCTTTTTTGTATTTCATTCTTTCATCAAATCTCATCCAATTTAGTTCTTTAAACAAATCACTAGAGGGTGCATCGTAACTTTATAATATAAATTTAAAATATATTGACTGATATAGCACCATATTTCATGGGTAAATTTAAATAACCATTTCCATTAAGGGTCATTTTCTTAGAAACAAAGTTATATTCACATTTTCATTAAAAAAAATGAGCAGATAATTTTAAAATTATTTTTTTGCTAAGTTGGTCCATTTTCTCAACAAAGTTCACTACATGTATTTCCCTATCAAAATATATATCAATTTGGAATATTTGTTCAATTCAAAATTGAAATACATTGTAATATATTTAAAGAGCAGGTAATAGGACTTTTTGTTTAATGTGTTGATAAACCTTCTCTATGTTTTATAAGAAGTTTACCATTTATACATCTTGTAACCTTTTTTACATTTGATTAGTTTTTAATAACATGTTTACATTTTGTTACAGTTTGAATGTGGAAGAACAACTTTGGTTTTATTCACGTTTGAAGGGTGTACCAGCTAGAGATAAACAAGATAATATTCCAAGGTAAGAATAGTTTACCATAATGAAATTTTGTATAATCTGCTGAGTAAGATTTAAGGGTTTTAAAAACATATTTGTTACACTGTAAATGGTAGTTTTAAGTCTATTTGCCACAGAAAAATTTAAATCTAGATTTCATGTTTAATACAACTTAAATGCTGTACACCTCTAAGACAAAAAACTGATCCCGCAACGCCCTTGTCTTTGCACATATTGATAGTAATTTAGGTAGATATGTACTTACTCATGTACATTTTCTTTTAAAACAGAACAAAACATAAACTTTATTTCAGACTTGTACAAAATACATCATCATCAGACAAAATATTATCATTTAAATATTTCAAATATAAATCACATTCCATAATTATGTAAAGTGTTAACAATTTTTTTTTTGCTTAATTTATAATTGGGCTAGCACAAAGCAAAATGTATTTGTTATTTCTGTAACTTCAGAAATCACACAATCAATGATATTTACCTATGCTATATTACACAGAGGATTACAGTCAAACATATTCCTGAACAACACTGTCGGTTCAAAAACTGACAGTGAACTTTGATTTTTCACATCAGGCAGCTATCCTGAGTTTGCTTGCAATATGCCAGTGGTTCTTAACTCAGGTGCCTGCTCATGCCTGAAACTATTGCACAAACAGGAACCTGGGGTCTTCCTAGATAATTAAAATCGGAAAGTCACCATATGACCTGAATTTTAGTATTGGTGTTGACTTATAACCCGACCGAAAAAGTCTTGAACAGCCAAAACAGATATATTTATAAATATGTTTCCTAAAAGTTTGTTATTTATTTACGTAATATTACAATTATTGCGTATTACTATTTTATTGACAGAATATTGTCAGATCTCCGCCCAGATGCACTCTCTGGAGGCATGCAGAGAAAACTTTCTATATCTATGGCATTTGTTGAAGGATCACGCACAGTGATTTTGGACGAGCCTACTGCCAGTGTCGACCCCTACTCGCGTAGAGCCATCTGGAATCTACTCGCTTAATACAAGACAGGTATAGTTAAAGTGATGATTGTAATTTCAGTTGAGATATTTTTCTTAACATTCAGAACAGAATTTGACAATTTACCTAAATCAGCTGTTTATATTGCTTGTTTGATAATTTGTCAATTTTTTTAGGATATTTGTTTAGGTCGGTGTAAGATCGGAATATATTTCACCATGTGAGCCCCAAAAGGTATATTTCACGAGTGGTGCAGTCACAAGTAAAATATGAACTTTTGGTGGCCACGAGGTGAAATATGTTTTGATCTTGCAATTAAGTAAACAAATTTTCTTTTTATTATATGCAAAGAAACGTTTAAAAAGACGTTTTAACCTAATGCTAAATTAAAAGTGCACCACATGATAATACGATGTGACATCATTTAGTTGGTTTCCAGTACTGTGCACGCTGGAATTTCACTGAAACAGCGTAAGGGGCTAAAATTCAAAACAGTGAAATTATCATTGTGGTAATTTCACTGTTTCAAACAGTGAAAATATCAGTTTTATATTTCATTGATATATTTCTATAAACCACCAAAAAACATGTAATAAATGATTGTAACCAAGTGCTATTTTTAAGGTTAATTTGTTATTTTCCAAGAAAGACAACTCTGTCAACCTTGTTTGATTTTTACTCTTAACTTTTGTGTCATTAGCTCCCTTATCCAAATCTGCTATCTGCTCATAATGTTTCCCTCCTAAAGTTAGGGTCACCTGAGGTCTTTCTTTGTGTTATAGAAGTTGTTGGTCATTGTACTATGTAGATGAAGTAGACCTATGTGTTTTACTTAAAATAATATGATAATTATTAAGCATTTGGATTGAGAAATTGTAATTGCAGTACAGAGCTAATAAAACCCCAGTGTGAGTAAACAGAGGTATTTTTTTACAGATCGGGATCCACAATTGGCTTTGATGTATGATGTTATCCCTGGAATTATAGTGTTTAACTACAAATTATATCTACGAACCAGTAACCCTCAGTTTTGTTCTTCATTATAAAAAGGGAAAAAGACATAGGGGTCACATGATACAGAAAATTGACCCCAATAATGGCTGCCACTTTTGGCAAGAGAGGTACATATTTTTAATTAAAATTTGGAACTATCAATAGTGAAGGTTGAAAAGTTAAGTACCTTTTTGGCTAGCCTAACCCGTTCAAGTATTATGCTTGTTTTTACATACTTGCATACTATGCATAAAAGTGGGCAGGCTGGTTTTTTATTTAGGGCAAATTACTAGTGTTGCTAGCATAAAAACAAGCTGAATATTTAAACTTTCATCTTTAAGGAAGGACAATAATGGTGTCCATATGGACAAAGCAGAGACTTTGGGGGATAGGATTCTAATTATAGCAGACGGCAAACTGAAATGTGCTGGTACCCCATCTTACTTTAATTCTAAACTAGGGGATGGTTACCGGCTCTGTATTTTGAAAGATGAAGGTATGTTTAACATAAAAGCTGATATATGACATAATGCTTAGATGATAGTGATTTATAATTTTTATACTTTTTAACTGGAAGAATGTTTTGACGTTTGTTGAAATTAAAAGTCATGAAGTGTCAATATATTAAACAAATCTTCAAAAATTCAATTTTAAATGACACTATTATGTTTACAATGTAAAAAACATTTAAAAATTCAAAAGTATAACATTTTTTAGCTCACCTGTCACAAAGTGACAGGGTGAGCTTTTGTGATCGCTTTTCGTCCGGCGTCCGTCCGTCCGTCGTCCGTCCGTAAACTTTTGCTTTAAATGACATCTCCTCATAAACCACTGAGCCAATTTCATCCAAACTTCACAGGAATGTTCCTTTGGTGGTCACCTTTAGAAATTGTTCAAAGAATTTAATTCCATGCAGAACTCTGGTTGCCATGGCAACCGAAAGAAAAAATCTTTAAATATCTTCTTTTAAACAACCCTAAGAGCTAGAGCTTAGATATTTGGCATGAAACATCTTCTAGTGAGTGTCTACCAAGTTTGTTAAAATAAAAGCCCTGGGGTCAAAATTGGCCCCGCCCCAGGGGGTCATTGATTTTCCCTATATGCATATAGTAAAAACTTAAAAAATCTTCTTTTAAAGAACCCAAAGAGCTAGAGCTAAGCTATTTGGCATGAAACATCTTCTAGTGAGTGTCTACCAAGTTTGTTCAAATAAAAGCCCTGGGGTCAAAATTGGCCCGGCCCCAGGGGGTCATTGATTTTCCTTATATGCATATAGTAAAAACTTAAAAAATCTTCTTTTAAAGAACCATAAGAGCTAGAGCTTAGATATTTGGCATTGAAAACGTCTTCTAGTGAATGTCTACCAAGTTTGTTCAAATAAAAGCCCTGGGGTCAATAAATTGACGCCACGCCCAGAGGGTCATACATTTTCCCTATATGCATAGTTATATATAAAAACTTAAAAAAAAATCTTCTTTTAAAGAACTCAAAGAGCTAGAGCTAAGAAATTTTAGCATGAAACATAATGAGTGTCTACCAAGTTTGTTCAAATTAAAAGCCCTGGGGTCCAAAATTGGCCCCGCCCCTTAAAAACTTAAAAAAATATCTTCTTTTAAAGAACTCAAAGAGCTAGAGCTAAAATATTTTTAGCATGAAACATGTTCTAATGGGTGTCTACCAAGTATGTTCAAATATAAAAATCCCTGGGGGGTCAAAAACTGGCCCCTGCCCGGGGGGGGGGGGGGTCATTGATTTTCCTTATATGTGTATAGCAAAAACTTAAAAATCTTCTTTGAAAAAACCCAAATAGCTAGAGTGTTTTAGATATAAAGCATGAAAACATCTTTAAGTAAATATCTACAAAGTTTGTTCAAATAAAAGCCCGGGGTCAAAACTGGCCCTGCCCCAGGGGTGTCATTGTTTTTAACTATATGTGTATAGTAAAAACTTTAAAAATCTTCTTTTAAAAAACCCAATGAGCTAGAACTTAGATGTTTAGCATGAAACATCTTCTTATGGGTGTCTACCAAGTCTGTTCAAATAAACAAATAAAAGCCCTTGGGTAAAAATTGCCCTGGGGGTGGGGGTGGGGGCCTATATACAGGTGAGCGACCTCAGGGCCATCATGGCCCTCTTGTTTTCTTTTTTGATTGTGTGGTTTTAACACCTTATGAGATATTGTTTGTCATATCTCAACAGTCAGTCCAATAAAACATTCCTGGATAACTAACCAGAAATTTTTCCCCAAAAATCTCCGCAAGGGGAACAAACCCCAAACCCAATTTTTTTCCCTTGATCTATTTTAGGGGAACAAATGACCATTAGACTGAATGCCCGGGAAAAGGGAATTTTAAATGTAGAAATTTAAACCCTTGAATTCACAATTTTTTTCACCCTTTACTTTATAAATTTGAGGCCCAAATTTCTACTTTTTACTTTACAGTGATATATAAATTGGAGACGGCATTTTTAAGTCATTTTTTGTTTATACAGCAGTGATTCTTGAGTTTTTTTTCTTTATGTTACTTTGCTAGCCTTTGTTTGCCATGCATGGGCATTTTCCCCCTATTCCTCAAAGGGCTTTTTTTTTAAAAGGATTCAACAAGCAAGGGTTTCGGGGTTTAAAGGTCTGGGGCTTAAATTTTCTGCTCTGATTAGTTTCTCTGAAAATAATTTCAATCAAAAGTTAAGTAATATTGTTTGATGATATCTCAGTCTAAAACACTTGTCTCAAGCAGAACAAGCTTGAGGTCCTTTGTATGCGATACTGTATAATCAGAAATTTTTTTTGACGGATTAATTTTTGCCTATAAAGTTCATTGAAGATTTTCAATTGTTGGATAAGTATGTAAGTATCGTACAAAGTTACAGAACTGACTGTAATAATTCCTGAATATTTAGCCTTTTCAATTTGCTTGATATAAAGAGTTCGAGAAAATATCAAATTTTACAGTATAACTCACATGCATTTACTCATTGGAAAGGAAAGAAATTAGGAAAAGATCGGTAATCAATTTCTAATTTTTATATATTTGATTTGAAATTTGATTCATGTTTGATTGGATTCTATAAATAGATTTTTCTTTTAGGTATGCATACTAATGGACCTTCAGAGCTGGATGGGAATAAAGATGCTCAGATTCTCACAATGGTAAAACAGATAATCTCAGCTGCCTTTATATCCAAGCATGTAGACAATGTCACAATCCCAGTGCAGAGGGACGAACATTTTGTTCCATTATTTAGACTTCTAGAGAACAAGAAAAGTGAGTTGGGGATAGCAAGTTATGGTATATCAGACAGTGGTCTTGAACAGGTGTTTGTGAAGGTCACAAAAAGTGGCGAGGAGGATAGCTGGGATTGTCTACACTTCTCACCTATATGTACATCTTTCTCCTTGATCTGAAGCTTATAGTTTGAGTAAAGACGAGGGGGTCCGACATTCTGTCCGTGGGCATGTCTTGTATTCAATATATTTTTATATCAGTGTAACTGTTTATAAATAAATGGTTTTCTTACGCATTGCTTATGTCACAAGCATCCACTTGAACTGTAATATAAAAAGTCTGTCTTAAAAAGTGCTTAAATTTGAGTCTCTTTCTTAAAAAGTGCTTAAAAATGTAAAAAAGTGCTTAAAAGTCCTTGACTTTGATTACTCTCTTGAAAAGTGCTTAAAAAGTGCTTAAATTTGCTAAAAATGTGCTTGAAAATGTTTGAATCACAGAATGACATAGTTTTGATAAAAATCAACGGTTAACAAAATAAAAAAAAAAGATCCAATTTAGTATCAAAATCAATGAAATGTTTACTCAAGGTAACAGTAAGTGGACAAATTGCAGTTGTTTTGAACTAATCTGTACTTGATGCACCCTAAGTTGTTCTTCTATAATGTCAGAAAATGTGTATTTAACAAAAAATGGTGAACAAACTATCCATCATAGGTTGAAGATTGTGTCGGTATATGTGCAACAAATGTGCTTGAAAAATGGGAAAACGTGCTTAAATAGTGCTTAAAAAGTCCTTGAATTTTGGCATTGGATGTCTGTACGAACCCTGATATTGCATGGTGCTTTTTTGTATGCCATATGTAAGCTTAATCACAAAGATTGTCAACATAAAACTGTGCAGTAAATTGATCTGTTAGGAATGAACGTTCATCATTACTGCATTTTGGGAAATGATTTTTTCTTAATTGATAACCCTTTCGCTGCCAGAGGGTTATTTATTGATCACCTATTTGCCAGAAGGATTTCTAAGAAATTACTATATTATTAATTAAAATAATTATTATTATTTGTTATTTGTATTATAATAATTATATATGTTTCCAAATCTGCTAGTATATAATAATTATTGTCGATTGTATAATTATCTATATATTTATTATTATACCCCCACCACAAAATGTGTTGGGGGGGGGGGGGCTTTAATGGATTCGCTTTGTTGCGTCCGTCCGTCTGTCTCCATTTTCGTGTCAGCTGTATAAATCCTATTCCAATTGAAGGATTTTCTTCAAACTTGGCTCAAATGTTCACCTCAACAAGGGGATCTGCAGAACACATGTTGCCCATGTGTCAGCTCAAGGTCAAGGTCACAATTGAAGGCCAAATATCAAACAATCAAATATTAGACAGTATGTCGTGTCCGCTCTGTAAATCCTACATAAATTAAAAGATTTTCTTCAAACTTGGCTCAAATGTTCACCTCAACAAGGGAATGTGCAGAACCCATGTTGCCCATGTGTCAGCTCAAGGGCAAGGTCACAATTGAAGGCCAAATATCAAACAATCAAATATTAGACAGTATGTCGTGTCCGCTCTGTAAATCCTACATAAATTAAAAGATTTTTCTTCAAACTTGGCTCAAATGTTCACCTCAACAAGGGGATCTGCAGAACACATGTTGCCCATGTGTCAGCTCAAGGTCAAGGTCACAATTGAAGGCCAAATATCAAACAATCAAATATTAGACAGTATGTCGTGTCCGCTCTGTAAATCCTACATAAATTAAAAGATTTTCTTCAAACTTGGCTCAAATGTTCACCTCAACAAGGGAATGTGCAGAACACATGTTGCCCATGTGTCAGCTCAAGGGCAAGGTCACAATTGAAGGTCTAATATCAAACAATCTAATATTAGACAGTATGTCGTGTCCGCTCTGTAAATCCTACATAAATTAAAAGATTTTCTTCAAACTTGGCTCAAATGTTCACCTCAACAAGGGAATGTGCAGAACACATGTTGCCCATGTGTCAGCTCAAGGGCAAGGTCACAATTGAAGGTCTAATATCAAACAATCAAATATTAGACAGTATGTCGTGTCCGCTCTGTAAGTCCTACACTAATTGAAAGATTTTCTTCAAACTTGGCTCAAATGTTCACCTCAACAAGGGAATGTGCAGAACACATGTTGCCCATGTGTCAGCTCAAGGGCAGGGTCACAATTGAAGGTCTAATATCAAACAATCAAATATTAGACAGTATGCTGTGTCCGCTCTGTAAGTCCTACACTAATTGAAAGATTTTCTTCAAACTTGGCTCAAATGTTCACCTCAACAAGGGGATGTGCAGAACCCATGTTGCCTATGTGTCAGCTCAAGGTCACAATTGAAAGTCATATATCAAACAATCAATTATTAGAGAGTATGTCATGTCAGCTCTGTAAGTCCTACACTAATTAAAAGATTTTCTTCAAATGTGGCTCAAATGTTCACCTCAACAAGGGGATGTGCAGAACCCATGTCACCCTTTTGCTGGCTTAAGGTCAAGGTCACACTTGAAGGTCAAAAATTGACTTATAAAATATTCTTAAATTTTAACATGTTTTGAATATTTCTGAAACTAGAAAAGGTATTTGCTTGAATCTTAAAATATATATGAAGTGTCACAATGAAGATATGCAGGTCAAGTTTCATAACTCTGTATTGCATTTTAACAAAGTAATGCCCCTTTTTAAGTCTTCAAATTTACATACAATCAAATATTAGACAATATGTCGTGTCTGCTCTATAAATTTTATACTAATGGAAGAATTTTCTTCAAACTTTACTCAAATGTTCACCCCAACTGGGTTATGTGCGGAACACATCTTACTCTTGTGCCAGCTTAAGGTCAAGGCCACACTTGAAGGTCAAAAAATTGAAATAGAAAATGTTTAGTTCATTGGAAAAATGAAAGGTTATTTGTAACTTATTCGAACATCATTTGACAATATATATTTATACTATTATCGGGGCGTCCGTGGCCGAGTGGTTAAGGTCGTTGACTTCAAACCACTTGCCCCTCACCGCTGTGGGTTCGAATCCCGACCGGGACTTTGGATTCTTTCATGTGAGGAAGCTATCCAGCTAGCTAACGGAATGTCGGTGGTTCTACTCAGGTGCCCATTCGTGCCTGAAATAATGCACGGAAGGGCACCTGAGGTCTTCCTCCACCAGTAAAGCTGGAACATCGCGAAATGACCTATACTGTGTTGATGTGACATAAAACCCCAAACAAAAAAAAACAAAAAAAATTTCCTGTACACTTTGTCTTTTTTTCACCAGAGATAATTTCTTTTTATGTACATTGTATTTGTGCCACTAAAGTTATTCCCTTAACCACCTTTCCAAGTCTTCTTCTGTCAAGGACATTGGTATGGGTATGAATCGCATTCAGTGATAGTTCTAGTTATTGTTATTATTATTATATAAATATTATTATTATTATAGAAACGGCAAAAGCCGTCCATATGGCAAGTACGCTGAAAAAAATAGGGACGGCATGTGCCGTCTCTATGGCAGTGAAAGGGTTAAGGCCTTTTATTTATTTATTTATTGCAAGTTCATTGTCTAAAGTTGAATTTCTTCCTGGGATTGGAATATTTTGGATTGCATTTTTATATTTTGCCTTATTATTGGAAGAATAGTGAGGCTTCTGTTCTTACTCTGGCATTGGGGCTTGCATAAAATGATGTAACATTTTCATTAAAGATTTATGTGCAACTTCTTGTTAATAATTATGAAGAATATATCTTAAAAAACTTTCAAAAATCTTTGGTCAGTATCCAAGACTTGTAACTTAATAATGTCATATATAATTTTATATGATATCATCCTCTTTTTTCAAATTCTAATATTATCTAGGCTCTTTTTTACTAACAAGCACTTAAAAGATATAGAGGATATTGAATGAGTGTAGTTTAATACTAAATTTATTGAGCGAGTTGAAAAAAAAAATTATATTATAGGAGCCTCTGGCGAGCATAATATTGTTTTATTCAACGTGTTCAATAAATTTAGTATTGAATCTACACGAATATAATATTCTATTTATCACATATATAAAATAAGAACAGTAAAATGTTAAAATGATTAATTTTTCAATGACACGCCCATAGTGTAACGCTAACATTAGCGCGCTTTAACGCTATGTTTCTCTATAGCGCAAATGATGTTACGTTAAAGTGTTATTACACTAGTGTAATATAGTTTTTATTAAATGGCTTTATTACACTCCTGCGCCGCGGTTTATGTGATAAAGTGGAGTATGTTATCTCTAGTTTTGTTATAAACTTTAACTAATATTGTAAGAGATTTCTGCAATTTATCAAAAAGTTATTAAAACGCTCTTTTCTTTATTTTTCTAGATGATACAGCGGATAATATGAACTTCCAATCCTGGAACATACAGATAAATGTAAATGGTTCAACCATTTTAAAACTGTTCTGCTAAAACATTTCTTCTATACATTACGGAACCGGAAAGCTTTGCTGTCACAGATAATCTTACCCGCGGTCTTCGTGTCTATCTCCATGACGATAGCCTTAACTGCACCGAAAAATTCTGATCCGGAGCCACTTGTTATGTCAACTGCTCAATACTACGATCTCACCAAACCACGCGGGAACTTTATTCCATTTTCTTTTCATACGCTTAACAAGACTTCAAAACATTCAAATAGTTTGTATGTAACAAAGTTTTCGGAAAAATTAGCCAACACATTTTCATGCCCTCGGGTTTTAAAGGGGCTTCCTGGTGTTTTTAAAAACTTAAATTTTTTCAAGGGGGATTTATGTGAGGAATAAATTTAAAAAAACGGTTTCCTTTTGACGATGGTTGGGGATGATTTTTTTACTTTCCCAAAAGTGGGACAGGGGAAATGGAGGACCCACTTTATCAGGGAATATTTTAATATTGTGCACCTAAAAAATAAAAAATTTTTTAAAAAAAAGTTTCCTTTGGGGTTTCCCTTTTTTTTCCGTTATTCAAAAATTTTTTTCTACAAATTGTTTTTTATTTAAAATTTCAGTCTTATTGGGAATTATTTTTAAAAATTTTTAGTTATACAGGGTTTTTTGGGAATACATTTACTGTTGTACTTTCAAAAAAATTAAATGTTGTAGCCCAAAAAGTTTTAGTAAACATCATTTTTGTTTTTAGTAACTTTTTTGTAAATTTTTAAATAAAAGTTGAAAATCTCAATAAGTCAAAATCGCTTTACTCAAAATTCCGCGTAAGTCGAAGTATTTATAAAGTTTCCTTCTTTATCTTTGTATTTTAACTCCGCTTAGGT